CGGACTTGAACTTGCGTGCATCAAAAACTTCGATCATGCTTTCTCTCAGTTCTCGGGGAATGAAAATCTGCAAATGCCTCTTTGGGCACTTAGAATAAATGTCCTCACTTCCTTGTACTCCTTCATGACTTCCCTGCAAATTAAATACACAAACATTGGCACCAAAGGCCGTTAGTGATAACAAGGTTCCGGGATGGACATTTTGGGAGAAGTGGCTGTGCGTGGCTTTTTTGAGAGGACACAAGGGTATATCCGGCTCAACCAATGGTTCAAAAATCAATTTTTTGAACCTTGAAGGGTTTTGTTGGGCAAAAATGGAGAGTATGGAAGAGGGTTTCTTTTGGGGCAATAAGGTTTTTGGGATTGATGGATAAAGAGTAAACTTCTTAGCACCCACCATAAATGAGTACGTGTTAGCAAAACCGTCATACATAACTCTCCGGTCAAATAACCATGGTCGCCCGAGAAGAATATTACAAGCTCTCATGGGTATTACGTCACACCACACGTCATCTTGAAAGGACTAACCCATGTTAAAAGAGACCAAGCTACGTGTATTCACGCGTATTCCCTCATCTAGATTCAACCGCTAAATATCATAAGGCTCCGGATGTGGTAACGTCTCTAATTTGAGCTTTTCCACCGCTGTTTTGGAAACAACATTGGCACTACTTCCGCTATCGATGATCATTGAGCACACCTTCTTTTGAACGGTGCAACGGGTATGAAAAATACTCTCTCGGTGTGCGGACTCATTCCGGGCAGTCGCATGACTAATTGTCTTTTGAATGACCAAAAGTTCACCTTCGTCGGGGCCAACAATTTCCTCTTCTTCTTTTGGCTCTCCTTGAACCCAAAAGGGGTTTATTTCTTCTTCTTCACATTCAACAATAGCCATGATCTTCTTGTTTGGACAATCACTAGCATAGTGACCAATGCCTTGGCAACGAAAACACTTTTGGACTCGGCTACTTGATGAACTAGGTTTTGAAGGAGAAGGAGCACTTGGCGATGAAATAGGGTGCATGGTTTTGGGATTTTTAGGGCAGAGGGCCGTGGGGTTTTGGGCAGCAATGGGGGTGT